GTGTTTTTACCATTATACTATTGGCTGACCTGTTTTTGTGTCATGTGATTAGGAAGAATTATGTCATATGACTAGTCTGTATGTTTTAACTATTCAATTAGTTATAAACTATATATTTTGTTTTAAGCTCAGCCAATTAATTGTTATATAAGTTTTTTGTAATATGTACATGTAGTGTAGGTTTAGTTTAGTTATTTGTTAGTTCAATAAATGACATTTTCACTCATATGTATTTTTTAATAATCTATACAAGGGCTAAGCAAAATAAGCTGCGAATAGCCGGAATTGTCTTGTCTCATTACAGAAAAATGTGTGGATATAAATATGTACAGCTACCTGTCTGACAACATGTAGCTAGCCAAATCAGCGTAGCCTCTCAAACTGATAAACTGGTGCTTTCTCTCCAAAATTTTTCTTTAGAGTGGCTTTAACCTTCCAATTCAGAGGTGCATCCCTCGCAGATCGTGAGAGTGTTATTGACGTGTTTGTTGATGGATTTCTTTGGAAATACTTTATCGTTAAGGAACTACTAGTATATAATATGGTTTTAAATCCCTTTGTTTATTTGAACATTTTGATCACAAACTGCAGTATCAACTACTTTTTTAAAAGTATATATATATATTTGATCACATAAGGAATAACCCATTTATATATATTAATTCCAAGATGAAATATTTAACAAAGTATGAAGAAAATCTCTTCAATATAAATGCAATTTAAACCGCACCTGGATGTAAGAATGATTTCAGACGATTATAAATTAAAATGCGTTTCTGATGTTTAAAAATACATGTATATTAGATTTAAGTGGCTTACCTTGGAAAGTACAACCTTCTATGATAATGTACAAAACTTTTACATTTCCCAATTAAATATTCGAAACCTCGTGTTTTTATGAAATGCAAGCCCAGAGATGTGACAAAATAAATTTTAAACTATTAATTTTTATTGCCTGAATAGAGTGATGATTATATGTGTTTTTATAAAACATTTCAGAAACAAAAATGATAGAAAAATAAGAAATCAAAAAAGTGATAATAAGAACTGTAAAACTCATGCTGTGTGAGCAGCGGAAAGGGCAAAAATTACCATTATAAAAAAAGTTATTTTAATTTCAATGATCATAAAAACTTATCAAAGGATATACAATGTATAATCAACAGAACTTTTCGTAACACAAATATACATAAAATGAAAACCAACTGCAATGTACGTAACAAACAAACATGAATGCAAAACGAATGATCATCTTTGCAGAACAAACGTACATAAAAACAAGACAAACGAAAAAAACTTATTATTTGTTATGTTATACAAATGGATTAAATATTTTACCGAATCAGATGACGTATTACAACTTAATTGAAATTAGTCAATAATATATTGGAGTATTTTGCGTGAAGAATCGTTCGTTTATGTTTACTAGCAATCGTGTAAGATCGTGTAATATGAAGAATCGCGTGCGTGAAAGATCGTTCCGACAGTTTGGGTAACAGGTTTAATCGTGCGGAATCGTCTGTGTAAGTTGTCAACAATGAAGTTGCAGTAAAACAGCAAAAAACAGCTTTTTGTGCAACCAGGAAGGAAAAATAGGAATCCAAAATTAACAGTACTGTTATAGTTCAAAATGGAAAAACTGATCATTTTCGTCTAAAAAAAACCCTATCTTAATTGTATTTGAATGGAATTTAATCGCTGTTTTTTCATTGAATATAGTTAAATTTGCACTGTAGAATTCAGATTTAATGTTAGAACTTAAAAATGATGCAGAATTTTATAAATAAAGGACCTGACCAAAGAAAAAGGTACAGCTTGGGCTTTATTGTGCCCTAAAAATTTAATGTTCTTAAGAAGTTATGAAATTTGCTTTAACAATAGTTGAGTAGATGAATATAATAAATAATTAAAGAATATGGCATTCTGCAAATATGACGTCATTAATTTGGTACATTTCTAACTTTAATGCAGACAAGCCCCAAAATGACTTATTTCTGTGCCTATTTTCCTTTAGAATATAATGTCTGCCACCGTCGCCCGCATCAATTTTTGGATATATTATGTTAACTGCTTTGATAAATCATATATATCAAAACCTTTGTGGGCGACGGTGGCAGAGTATGTTCTCTAAAAGAAAATTCCACTGAAAATTCGTGTCTTCTGCAGCTTTTAAGAAAATACGGGAAAATGCACAAGTTAATGACGTCACAATTAGCATTTAGCAGGTAATTTGAGAAAAATAATTTGTGTGTTCTTACTGCGTGGAATTCCTATGATTCAGAAAGAATGAATTTTAATTTCTTATATCACTTTCATACTTTTGAAAAATACAGGGCTTAATTTGTATTGAAACTGTACCCTGCTCTTACGCTCAAAATCTCAGGATCGAACGTCCTTAAACGACCATGATTTCTTTCCTCATCACAATTGTACATGTATAACTCTAGATAGAAATGGTAAACCGCGTTTGCAAACTGCAGGGGATTATATTTTTGGCGGAATGGTGGCGTATGATTTTTTTTCTTCATTTCAAAATTATTATAGAACAACGAATTTAGTTTTAATTTTTACACGACCAAAGACTTTAAGAAATTTTCAAATTTAGGTTTAATTTAGGTTTAATTAATAAGGGACTTAATTTCCTAAATACAAAATATCAAATAAATATGATTTTTTAAACACACTAGAACTATTTAAGATTTCATAAGCTTCCAATCTGAGTTCAGATACATGTATGAGCCAAAAATCGGTAAAAAAAAAATATTTTTTCTCTCTCAGTAAACGATCAAAACTTTTTGTTTTTTGAATCATTTTGTATGTTGATATGCATGTGACAACTTCACCATGCAAAGGTTGTCCGTAAAGTTCGAGGACAACATTGATTATTACGAACAAACATTGATTAAATTTATGAAACAATTATTTTCATTAAGTCAATGTTTCATTTTATGCATGTGCAAAATTTAAACAAATACATAGCACAAGTAGTTATAATATTTTAATCAGATTTAAACAATTTAGAATCTACACTACCCCAGGATGCTTCCACATATTACGTTTCAGCTTTTCTAGATCTGGCCCAGTGGTTCTTGAGAAGAAGATTTTTAAATGACCCCATCCTATTTTTGTCTTTTCTTGATTATCTCCCCTTGTGAGGAAACTTGGCCCTTCATTTTAACAATTTAAATTTCCCTTAACCCTAGGGTGTTTTGTCATAAGTTTGGTCAAAATTGGCCCAGTGGTTCTTGAGAAGAAGTCAAAAATGTGAAAAGTTTACAGACGGACAGACAGACAGCTAGACGGACGGACGACGGACAAAATGTGATCAGAAAAGCTCACTTGAGCCTTCGGCTTAGGTGAGCTAAAATTTAAGAAAGGTAGAGAAAGTTCAGATAAGCCAAAATCCATTTTAGTTAAATTATTTATGTCAATTTGTTAATATCATCTTATAGGCCCTATATGATAGTATATTTTTGTGCAAAAAGAAAAACATATCTTTTGAAATACAAGTAGGGATCGCATAATTTGCAACAATATTTTTTTATTATTATTCTTAATGTCTGGGAGAAAGATAAAATGACTTTGACCTGACTTTGTCTTTAATAAAAAACGGTCAAATTTAATTTCAAAGATAACATCACTTATTGATATTGTCTTCTTGATTCTGTAAAAATTTCATTAAAATTTAAATAAAACAAATATGAGAAAAATCCTACCTTAATTTTCCTTATTTTCAATTGCACGGGAATCGTTCAACAATTTTTGATATATTTTTAGAATATTCTTCTTAATATTATGCATGGTTTATTTTTTTAAGAAAATTATAAAGAACACACCCTTGCGTCAAATGTTGTGAGATTGATGTGTTTAACTACCTTGAATAAAAAAAGACATCATAATATGACATCATAATGTACAATCGCTTTAACATGATGTTGGTACAAAGCATATGAACAAAAAGAACTTTATCGGTATGATATACATAGCTTTTATGAAATTTAAATATCTCATCTGTTCCGGAACTCATTTGCGAATGACAAGGAACACACAATGGATATGACTGGTTGGCAAGGGATGTTTACCACTCCCTGGCATCTCCTCTCTTCTCTGGTGTTTTTAGGTTTCAAATCTCTACTGTCTACTTAGAATTCAATATTTGGTTCAATATTACTTACTTGGTGTAATATTTGCCATTATTTTACAATTAGGCCACATATCATAGATTGAATGTTTGATTGCATGTTGTTTAACTTCCCTCTCGAGAATTTTTTCACGCATATGGAGACGCCACCAATTGCCGGTTGAGACCTATAAATTTTGTCCTATAATTGACACTTAGGGCCATTTAGGAATGAGGTATCTTTTTCGTGCCAGCAACTAATGCGACACGGGACCTCGGTTTATCCGGTCTAATCCTAATGACCGGTCTCCACGTCCCACAGTGGGATTCGAACAACGTAAGGAATGACTCCTTACTTCGCGACTCTTGAGCAGACGCTCTAACCGCTGCACCATACGGGACCAAATATCATAGAAGACATTTTTACAAAAGTGCATGTCTTATTTTAAAAAAAATATAAGATAGGACGATTCTCAAGTAAGCTTGGACTTTCAGTAAGGAGTGACATTCTCGAAGTTACATAATTAGCATCTGAAATTTACACAGCTTTCATTCACTGTTGAAATATACATGGTGTAGAAATTCAGGCAAATGCCAACGAGTGTACCGGATAACCAATAATATAGTCTCGCCCGCCAAAGAGATGGAGCTTAAGTCGTCTCTTAGTTGTCAACAACAATTTAAAGGTCTTGATGTTAATTAATTTCCTCATCAATGAGAATCTTTAAGCCATTTGACAGACGTTATAATTAAATAGCACCGAGAAAGCCACATATAAATCATAAGAATAAAAGAAATATTTTCTCTTGAACTGAACACTGGTAAGGATTTTAAGAAACAAAAGGAAATGTACATGCAGATAGAAGAATAAAATCATGACAACTTTTAAAAAATCACGTCTATATACTCATGTAAAATAATGTAAGTACATGTAACATAATTTCTATTTCAAAAAGCAAGAGATGTGAGATCATTTAGAACAAAAATTTATATTAGTTTACAAAATAGCAGGATAAACCACATAGGAATCAAATTATAAGAATCTATCATACAAAGTTAATTGCACGATACCCCCGCATCCTCACCATGCCCACAATTATGCGAACCAAACGGTGGTTTAGAACATTCCATCAGCGATGATTCTGTTCCACTACAATTGACGTCATCAAGCCAAATCTGACCACTTCCTTCGCCATAACTCGCTTCGTCAACTGCTGTTCCTCCACTAAAAAATACAATTTTTATGTATAATATACAACGGCGTATTCGTGCCATATTGACAATGTAAAAAAATCGTTTTTTAGTTTTTTAAATCGATTGAACGATTTAGAAAATAGTTTGAACGATTTTTTAAAAAATCGTTTGTTCGTTTGTGCTTTTAGAACTCGTTTGAACGATTTAGATTATCGTTTGCACGACCTAGGAAATCGTTTGTACGATTTTTTTTCTTTTGATTCGAAACAGAAATGTACTGGAAGGATATGTAGATAACGAGCAGTATTCGATATCAAAATCCATAAAACAATACAAAATAGGAGCAGAGCAAATATGGACCTTCGAAACATCAGAGGTGGGATCAGGTGCCATAAAGGAGTAAGCATCCCCTGCTGTCCGGTCATACCCGCCGTGTGCTCATTGTCATGATCGTGAAATTACGGAAAAATCCGTCGTCAATTCCGTATATTAATAATGGATTATCAATTAGTATGAAAAACGTCAGTCAGCATTTGACTCAATGGTAAATTGTATTTACTGACAAGGTCATTGTATCGACCATAGAACTTACGAAATGATGACTTTAAACAAAACTGCTGATATTTTTGCTTCATCAACTAGCTTGTCAATAATTTACCTCGTTTTAGAAATTGTCCATACGTAGAGCATGCTCTTGCGTATCGATTCAATTGACTAATCCACTAATTTTTTTGTTGTTGTTGAAAATTTATGTTTTAGCGTTTTCAGACCCATTTTCCTGATTTTTCTGTTAATTCTAAGTTGTAAATTTTGATTATCTCCCTTAACAAAATTCGTATATTTCTCATCTTTATATATTGTGTCGGCTAAAAATTATATGTCTTTGTGTGTAATACTTTTGAAAGCGTCACAAAGGTGGCAACCCATGACAAACTGTATTTTACAGACTTTTTTACTCATCGACGGAGGATAGGATGAGGTGCTCTAGTGTTGAGAGGATTATCGAAAGAAATATAAGCAAGGTGATGGATACAGTGTAACCGGGCGATCCAAATACTTATTGCATTAACAAATGTAATTTAAATATATATTTTAAAGATAAAAATGCTTACGTATAGAGGTGAGTGCAAGTTTCCTTACTTTTGTTCAAAATACATTTAATTTAAAATCACGATTACTACGCAAGGTGTCATTATTGCTTCGTAAATGGTTGGTCTGTGTAATTTTGTCAACAACAGGAACCATCTCCGTGGCCGCGGTATTTATCATTTGGGTGCCACGCAGCCATTGACTGAGTTATCAATATGTATTAATTTAGTGTTTAAGTAATCGATATTTATTATGGATTAAGATATCTGTTCAAGAACTCACTTACAATATACTAGTACATTGTAAGTAAATATCTGATGTCAAAAATTTTATTTTATTCCAAAGTTTGTGCGAATTTCTCATAACTAGGTATACGTATAACTGTACATGTACCTGCGACCCAGCATTCTACAAACAACTCGTGCATCATTATTGTCCCAGTCATCGTCACAAATTGTGCCCCATGATCCATCATAGAACACTTCAACTCGACCATAGGAAGATCCGCCATCAGTGATCCGTACCTCAACTGTATAGCAAGTTTTTAAAGAATAAATGACACAAACTTTTTTTTCAAAAGATCAGCTGTATTTCTCATAGATTTACAATCAATTGGTAACCTGAATAATGTTTACCGAGTTTATTGGGAGAATTTTATAAGATTTTGTCTTCAGGTTTAAAAATTCTGCAAAAGTTTGTATAGAATTATTTAGAAAGCAAAACAAAGTCTCATATCTAAGCTAAAGGAAAATCTACGATTTATTTATATTTCAGGGATTTTTTAATGTCATTTCAAATCAAAATCAGTCAAAATATATATATTAATCCATGCATCAAATTTTTGTTTGTGTTAGGTAACCCTAAGGTTTATTATCATACTATTTTTAGTGATAATTATCTTTGCATTGGTAGAAGTTTCAAATTGCGTGCATATTTATACTTAACATTCACGATAAGTTATGAAGTTTGGAATCACATTGCATTAATTATATTGAATCTTATAATTACTGTATTCTATATAAAATGTGTACATATTTATATCCCCCGCTTGAAAAGTGGGAGGGTATATAGTAAATTTGTACATTTTTCCATCCGTCTGTTATATATCTTTATCATAACATACTGTTAAATTTAATGAACTTTCAAAGAATCTTTATTACATATTGCCATTGTGCACCTCCTATTGTTTTTTTTTCCAAAATGTTTACATTTCCATGTTTTTACCTATGACGTCATTTAAATTCTTAACATTTGATAGGACGAGTTTTTCTCTTTAGTGAGCAACACATCTATGAAAATGAGCATTTCAAAAATATATTTCACACACATTTGTTGAACATTAAAAAAGCGCTCAGCTTGTTTTTCAAATACGTCATCTTGCTGTTTTCTCTTCAGTTCAGAAAAGCAAGAAATATCGTATGGAAAATCAGCTTGTTAAAATATCAATTTTCTCTGAAGAAAAGCAAGAAAGTATATCCTGTACTTACTAAATGATTTCAAGCCATTTGACAGTACTGTCAAAGATGTTCCCTGAGACCTTTGTTGTGTTTCAATGGCACTAAGTCTTGAAGTATGACCCGAAGCTGACTGTTTGATATTTCGGAGCGATGTTCTCAAAGCCGAAACGTCTCCCATTAAGGTATTAATACGGAAACTGTGTTGCGCCACTGTCTCCGATTCCAAAACACCTATTCTGTTTGTTATATTTTCAATTTTCTGCAGGGTTTTATTCAAATGGCCAGTAACTTCATTGCGTACTTCTTCCTTAAATTTTGACATCTCCTTATCAACCCGAGACATTTCCTTTTGTAAAAGTTCATTGAAAGATTTCATTGTTTGAAAGTTTTTCTCCATTTCCGATTCAATTGAAGATAACCTGTTTAATACCTCAGTTTTGAATTGAAAGAAAACTTTGAAATAACTGTCCACATGTTCATTTGTTTCTTCTGATCTGCCTTGGTATATCAATTGCTGGGAGCTGCTAGAAATTACTCCAAATATAACGAGACATACGTATAGCATCACATCCATTCTTATTATGGAAATATCAAAACCAACGATACGATTCCTTGATTTTCCCGTCAGGTATCAATTATATGGAGTCAAGCAATGTTGAAAATTTAAAAAAAAAATTAAGTTGAAAACAATGATTTACTCGAATAATGTACTTATCTTAGAAAAACCCAGCGTATGACACGATGTGTATTTAACAAGAAACAGTTTTGTTGATAGCGATATCTACTTCATTTTAATTACGCACTTACATTTTACTTCCCTTTGAAAGTTGTTTTTATCAACTTTATTAAGTTTACTGGGAAAAGTAGCATTATCATTGAAGATTACGTTTTATGTTTCTTTCCTTCCTCAAAGTTTCCACTAATTTTTTATGCAGTTCTTCTGAAAAAAGCACCATCACAATAAATCACATCCCGTTTGTCTAGCCAGCAGTCTATCTCTCAGCAAAGTCTGTCTCTAGCCCAAAAGTAAAGTTTTGCTATCGCAATACACCAGATACTGTTTGTCTTCCCTTCCTAGTAACATTTAGAAAAACTGGCACTCAAGACCACTTCCTGTGTGTTTGTTCTGCTCAGAATTGTTAGTTTTAAAAAGGCATTTGAACAGTAAAAAGTATATTTACAAATCTCTGTAAATTTGATAGAATACATAGAATCTTTTTAAATAGGATCATTTTGTTAAACTTTTTTATATCCAATGTATTTTTTTTAACTTTTGTTAAAAAAATATTTATATTCACGAATTTTGAACTTTGATTAGAAATTTCCCTCTAATTTTATTATTGATTTAAACTTTAGATATTTTTGTTAGGATAATTATTTTTTTTAAAAAATTCGGTTTTGAATTCAAGACATGATCATTGTTTCATACATATGCAACTTCTAACCAATTTCAGTTTATTGATGCGGATCGCTTAATTGCCATTTTTCGGGAGAAATTTCCATATATTTTGACGACATTTTACTATTTGACAATCATTATCTAAAGTATTTATCAGCTCAATATACATATATGTCAGTAAACCCCCAATGGAAGCCTCTACAGCTTAACGCACTTTTTAAGCTCACATGGTTTTTCGCACCAATTAAGGTCACATTGGTATAATGTAATATTGTGTATTGAGACAATAAAATACATTTTAAAAGAATTTGTTTACATCATTTGAGTTTTATTTCATTTGCTAAAACATAATTCATACAAATCAAGTGGTAGAACTCTTGGCTGAAAAATAGCTATTATTTCCATTTGTTTTTGTTTTTTTTTTTGTTTTTTTTTTGTTTTTTTTTTTGGTGGTTTCTTGCCAATTGCAGCTGTCTTATTATCTATTCTTTTGAAAGCAGTATCTCTTTGCAAAAACATAGACACAGGCACAGTACAGCTACTCTAACTTGTATTTTCTGTACATTCTGACTTTAGCGCAGGGTGATAATAGTATTTTTCATCTGTTTGACTGCTTTGTATGTTAATAAGGTGTCATTTTTCAGAGTCACGTTTCAAACCGTAAATGTAGAAGAATTTTCTTTTTCATAGAAAAAATTTACTATTTGAAAAAATAAACAAAACTTCATTATCCTACCCTGTAGTGTGGTTTCTTTCTGCAATGTTATCCCTTTTCGGTGCTACATTTCGACAAAACCAAGATGACTATGGTAAATGAGCAAAGAATTTAAAAAAAATACTTTTTTAAAAAGAAAATTTAAAATATTCAACTACATTGGATCAAAGAAAGCACGTGTTATATAATTTGTTAAAAAAAACCTATGGTAGAAGCTTATAGAAGAAACATCGTACCATTTATTGATAAATTCCCCTCTAAAACATCCACTTTGGAAACTTGAGATAATAACTTTAAAGGACATTTATACTTGACGTTATATATGTAATATAATGTAGGGCTATGTCATCGTTCTGAAGTTCGAAAATAGTAATTTTTATTACAAAAATTTGACCTTAATTTATGCGAAAAATCATGTGAGCTTAAAAAGTGCGTTGAGCTGTAGAGGTAGGCTGGTTTTTGCTTCATGATCGACTGGCTATGGGTTATTTCTCGTTCTCTGAGCCGCGTCAAAACATGTCGTAAAAACTAGGTAACGGCTGTTACTATGCCAAACTCTCAGAAAAAATGTGGGTCTTTCGAATGTCTTTTTGTTTGGACATTGTGGGTCTCAGTATTACATTTATAAGCACCACTGTGCTAGCACTTTGCTATTTAAAATTGTGATATTGTACAAATCCTACATTTCAGAACCTTGCAGGTTAGAAGTCAACAATTAGTCGATTTTCACACCTGTGCCCCTCAATCAAAAGAAAAGAAGATATATTTTGTGAATTTGAACATTGATGTTGAAATTTGAAAGGTCTTTGAGTATGCATCTGTTGTACGTTAGGTTTTTCCTTTTTTCATGCTTTTATTGTTCATCAACAACTACATCATAGCTACCTAATGCAGGAACAGCATCATAGCAAGGACAGAATATGCACTAAGTGTAAGCACATAATGTCGCCAGCAACAGCATGAACAAAATTACTTTTGCCTTCGACGTGATTGCGTACTGATGGACAATGATATATGCAATTAGGGTAGATATTCATAGCCGAAGATAAGAAGAGACACAATCGCGCTTATGAAAAGTTCCGACGGACACCTCACCTCTGTATCATTATCACAAAGGTATTAAATCAGTAAATAATGTTGGGTGACAATATTTGCATATGTAGATTTGATAAATTATTATTACGTCTTCATGTCGGTTCATGTGGCTTGTAACAATCATCTCCGCGTGTCGTTGTTTATGAAGAGAAATTTATTTAAAACCGCAATTATATGCCAATTTTTGCTGTATATTTACAATCTACACCCAGATTTATCGTTCCACTAATACATCTGTCAATGTCTAAAAAGAGGTACGGAAAGCGTGGAGACACGTGAAGTATTTGAAATCTTGTTTAAAATGGTCCACAGGAAAATTTACATTTTTATATTTCTATATATGTGCCAATGCTACAAGTTTTTTGTCTATTAAAAAGAACTATTTATTTTAAAAAACGGTTTTTGTAAGTCCTGTATGTGAAGAAATGAAATTAAGAAGTAGATCCATAAAAAGTTGAAGAAGAAATAATCGAAAGACTCTGTACGTAAACTTTAATGACAAACGTAAGAAAAAAACTTCAGATTTATATCGTTTTCTTCTTTTATTCTTTTTTTTGCAATTAGAAACATGTACATGTACATTATATACTTCGTTTTTGTGTTTTGGTGTTAAACCATTTCCTATAAAATGACAATTTCGACTTTGAAATATGCTTGCTATTATAATTTGAAAAGAAATGGATTCTGGTTTTGTATACATGTACACTGTAGTGTGTTTTAATCGAGGATTCACTTTTATTTTAATACCTGCTTTAAACGTAGCATATGAAAGGTTTCTCGTTTTATTTAAATTTAACTCTAATATCATTCTTAATTATACATGTATACTAAAGTCAAACTATCAAACATGGTTGTTTTAATTGAATTTAAAAATTCGAGTCAAACAATAAAACTTCCTCTCTAAAAATAAATATTAACACTATCATTGAACAGGTAAATTAATCACAAATAAAATTATAACAAGATGAAAAATATATTTCTTCTTAGAAATACAGATTATACAGTGTAGCGTGGATTCCAAATTCACACGATACAAGGAAAAACAGATAATCGTTAACGATCTAAAAGGTAAATATAATTTATACGAATAATGATATTTAAAAAGAAAAACATTTTGAGTGTGAACACAAATACTCTAAAGTTGATATAGAAGAGATGATCGAATTTCTGATTGACAATATCTAAGTGGTTTTGGAGACCATATATACGAATCATAATATTTTTTAAAAAACATTCTGAGTGTGAACTTTAATACTCTGAAATTGATATAGAAGAGATGATCGAATTTCTGATTGACAATATCTAAGGGGTTTTTGGAGACCATGTATACGAATCATGATCTTTTTAAAAAAAAACATTCTGAGTGTGAACACGAATACTCTGAACTTGATATAGAAGAGATGATCGAATTTCTGATTAACAATGTAAGTGGTTTTTGGAGACCAAAATATTAATTTCATGAGTGCCAATTTGCGCCCCCGTGTTATAACCTATTTTTGTATTCACATGAAGCTGAATTTTTTCAAAATCTTATACGTAAAGATACGAGACATTTGCGGTTGCTACCAATTCGACGTTTAGATTTATATTATTGACGATGTTTTGTTAATGATCAATGTTAAAATACATTTGTACTTCCACTTTAATGTTGATACTATACATCCCCGTGACCTTAAGATAAATGATACAATTAAGTCTGGCATGTCTGTTTCATATTGAATATTTTTCCAAAAATGGACATTATTGGTAATCTAACAACAAAGCTTTATGATAAACGTGATTACTTAAAATTCCAGCTTCCCTTACTTATGCAGCAACATACCTTTTATAACCCCCATATAAGGGTTTAATACTCTCAGTTTATTCGATAAGCAAGAGCATATGAACAATTTCTAAAATGAGGTAAGTTAATGGCAAATAAGTCGTTGAAACAAGAATACATGTATCAGCAGTCTCGTGAAATGTCATCATTTCGTAAGTGGTCGATTGAATGACCTTGTCAGCAAATACATATATCGTTGAATCAAATGCTGACTGACTTTTTCAAACATTGTTAGGCTATTATTTACAAATTGATTTGTGGACGGCTTCTTCTGTTATTTCCTGATCGTGACAAGGGGCAACTGTGGGTTTCATCGCTCGGCAGCGGATGCACACTCCTCCACGACACCTGATCCCACTTCTATCATGAAACAGATCTATGTTTTAATCACCTGTAAATTTTTTTTATTGAATTTGTTCTTAAAATTTGCATTTGTTTAGTTTTACATTTCAATTTTGATCGTACAGCATAAAGTTTTGACTTAAGCTTAAGATGTTTCATGATCCCGAGGCCTGATGTTTTATACGTAGTACGTGTTTGTTTGCTTTGTTCCAAAAATTGCATTTGTTTAGTAAGCTTTTGACATTGCAATACTGTTCATTATCTCCATATATTTCATGGAAAACAAGACAGGAAAGCACGATATAACATCACAAACCCGATACGATAGGATACACTATTTATGTACACAATACGAATGGGTGAACGAACGATAGGACATGATAAAATTGTTAAGCGTTTACAGGCCATAGAATTAATTAACATTTTCTTAATCTTAATGAGGAAAATGTTGATAGAAAAATTTCATCTAATTTAGTCTTCTAATTAAGTGAACCTTTCTTTTTTATATAAGACCCTTGATAAATCATTTCAAAATCAAAACAAACATATATCACTTTATATAAGGAATAAT